GGAGCGTCCCCCGATACGCATCATTAATCCAGAGCGCACCAAACCCAGCCCCGCCAACGCCCGCCGACCGACAACGCCAGACCAGAAGGGAGCGAGGAGGTTGGGACACCGTCGGCCAGGGACGCCTCTAGCACCCCCCGAGCTGAAGGGGTTCGCTCCGAATTTGGCATTCCGTTTCCCGACCCAGGCGTCTCGGAGGATTGTGGAGAGCGCGTGCTCAGCGGCGCCACCGCGAGCTGAGCGGCGCTCGCCAGCGGCCACGATCGCCACCGGCTGGTAAGCTTTAAGTGGGCCTGTCTTTTTACAGGGGGGATATTCGAGAATATTCAAAAATAGTATGTGGACGTTTTTTGTATTCTTGAACATGATTTTCAATTATTGTTGGCATATTTTTTATTTTCGTCCAAAACCCGCCTGTAGGGGGACAAGCCCGACATAAGGCAAGCTCCATGCGGCGGATTCCTCCACCGAGGACAGCGCTGCGCCTGAGGCCGGGGAGGGCCGTGCCAGTCCCGCCAGGGACTGCTCCTGCACATGGCTTCAAGGCATGTGTCAGAGGAGAAAGAGGGGTAATTACCCACACAATGGGGGCCCATGCCAAGAAACACCCTGCTTGCCTCCAGGGTGCCCTGGGTTTCTTAGGTTTCGATGGTCTTGCGGTGGAAAGCGCGAATTTCCCGTACCAACAATCAATAAACGACATGAGGTCTCAGGGTTGGGTTTCTTGTGGAATGTTTCTCGTGGACTGGCCTCCAGTGGACCTACACCGCTAATTACCCTTCGCCCCTTTTCCTTTTTGCTTGGGCCTCCTGGGAGGCCCTCGTCGTCACCGCTGGATTCGCTTCGAGATCCTGGTCAGAACGCACCCCGGGAGAGGTCCGCGGAGTAACTAGCGGTATGGGTACCTTTGTAGGTGTCCCCAGTGTGAGTTGCCCTGCGCTGGGAGGGGGAGCTGGCCGCGCTGGGGCAGCGATCGGCGGAGGACGGGCATGCCGTCGCTCTCGGACGCCAGCCGCGAGGAGTCGAGATTCCGATGCTCGTTTTTGGGGGGACCTTCCTGGGGCCCCTCCTGACGGACCTGTTCGGGTCTAGTTCGGCTCTAGTTCGACTCTTGCTCGACCCAATTGGTTCAAGTTCGACTCAAGTACGCGCGCGTTCGCTTCTGCATTGACGCGTGAATGGAGCAAGTGGCTCCAGTCTGCTCGGCCCAAGAGGGGGTCCAGGTGCAAGGGGGTGGTGGGAACAAAACAGCCGGCACTGAAATATCGGACGGCTGGCGCGAAAGTGATTATCCTGCCTGGAGCACATCTCTATCCCAGTAATTGGCATCGCCTCATCTCGATGCCGATCCTGAGGATTCCCTCAGATTCTGAGGGCGCATCCCTCAGAGTGTCATCGCCTTTTGGCTTGTCAATCTTAGAGATAGGGATAAGCTCGAGGCTGGATAGCGATTGCGCCCGTCCGCCGTCCGTTGCAGCGCATGCCTGCAGACGACCCCGGGGACATGCACAGGGGCTGGAGGCAGAAGGCAGACGGGCACCATGGAACCTCAGGTGCTCGTTCGGTGGACCTCCCTGGACCAGGAACATCGGGCGATGAGGTCTACACGTGTCCACTGGCCCGCTGGCAAGGCCGCATCCTGAACCCAGGAGCGGTGTACATGCCCGCCTGGCCAAGCCAGGAGGGCGTGGCGTACACACCGCTGCCGGGTTCAGGCTGGGCCTGGCCAGGGAGCAGTGGACGTGTGTGCAGATCTCGTCGCCCCAGACGAAGCCCCCAGAGCGAGCACACCCACCACCACCACGGAGGAGGAGGAGGAGGAGGAGGAGGAGGAGGAGGAGGAGCATGAGGAGGAGGAGAAAGAGGAGGAGGAGGAGGAGGAGGAGGAGGAGGAGGAGGAGGAGGAGGAGGCCCCCAGAGCGAGCACACCCACCGCTCCCCATGGCTCGTGGGCTGGCCTCCGCTGGGAGGGTGAGGCTCTCCTGGCCTTCTCGCGCGTGGGGGGCAGCGGTCGGGGGAGGGCGGGCTCTCGGACGCCGGCCGCGAGGTGTCGAGGGGCCGGCTTTTCTCGCGCGCCTGGGCGCTTCCGAGACTCCGAGGAGGAGCCCCTCGAGCCATGGCAAAATCGCGACGGGCGGTTTTCAGTTATTCTCGGCCGGGCCCGTATACAGGGCGTTGGGACCGTCAAAGACAATTCCGGATGAGAGACTGGTCATGGGGAACGGGTCGAGGCCTCTGGGGGTCGGCGTCATGAAAACATGACGTCGGGGGTCTGAGGAGCAAGAGGGCATGACAATGGTACGTTCCAAGATTTCCAGGACCAGGACTTTCAGGATGTTCCACACGGGCTGCAGAAACGGTGGCCGTGAAAATCCTGGAGCGCATCCCGAGCCAAGATCATTATGAGGTATTATCCCCGTCCTGGGGACAGGAGTGGCGCGCTCTCCATCTGCGCGCCTTGATTCCGCAGGGCGAATGGGTCAGGGGCAACGTCAGGATTGGCCCAGGGGGGGAATCATCGACCCACAAAAGAGCCCATGGACCGCCGACGGGGGGGGCTCGATTGCCCACTCCGCCCATGAGCGTGCGGATTCGCTATCGGGGGCCCGTCGCCAATCTATCATCGTGGTGGATCACCGATTCCAGCTCGATGTTGCCCCCCCCCCGAGTGGGCACCCTAGCGTTCACCTCGGGAGAGTGGAATCCGATCGGGCCCGATTTGTACCACATGTGGTTTGGACCCATCTCGTTGTTCCCCCCCCCCCCCCCCCCCGAGCTGGTCCCCCCTCTAGCGTTCTAGCGTTCCCCCTCGGGAGGTGGACATCTGATCGGGCCCCGATTTGTAACCACAATGTGGTTGACACATCTGCCTCGGAAAACTCGATTCTCCAACAGGCCCCATGTTTCCCTTTCCCTGGGACGGGGAAGGTCACCACTTCCACTTCCCGGGACCATCTGTCGACAGGTTCCTTAGTCAGAAAGCCATTTCTTATCCGCACTCGTAGCCTTGCGCCAGGTCTGTCGCACCCGCGCCTCTTCTCTTCTTCGGGCAGGGGTTGCCCGAGCGGGTCCCCCAAAAGACGGCAGGCTCCCTTATCCGCTCTTTACAGCGCGTCGTCGTCATGACGTAGGTTCGAGGATCGACGTTCGAGGATCGAGATGTTCTATCGTTTTCTCCATTTGGGGCCCAGGGAGCGTCTCGTCGCCACGCCTGGATTCCCGTCGAAAGTGTTGCCGCGTCGCGTATCTCCCCAAGCCCATCAGGCGAGTAGTCAGGATGAGTCATGTCTGTGCCGCATCTTGAGAGGGCAGCGGGAGAGGAGGTCGTGGAGGAGGAGCTGGTAGCACACGTCTAATAGTAAATAGTCTTTCTGTTGAGCAGGAGTCGTCTTGGTCGCAGTCATAGTTGATCCTGCAGTGGCAGGAGAAGCCTTACTTCATACGAGCCGCAGTCGCTGTCGTAGTCGTAGTCGTCGTGCATGTTGTCGTCGAAGCAGCAGCAACGGTCGCAGTCGTCGTCGTATGCGTCGGCATGCATGGTCGCAGTTATGGGTAGTCGTAGTGGAAGTCGGTGTAGCCGTAGTCGCCGTATTAGCCGTCGTTGCAGTCTTTATAACTCTTTATAAATGTACACAGGGTCGCAGTCGTAGGTGTAGTTGTAGCAGTGGTGGTGCTAGTCGCAGTGCGCCTATGTGTTGCGATCTTGCTGTAGCGGCTCACTACAAACCCCATTCGCATGTTGCCAGAAAAGGTTGGTTCGCACCTCGCCTTCGCGTGTCCTTATCTTGTAATATGTTGTATAGTGGCACGTTGAAAATCCCAATCATTCGGTATGCCTTTCCCTGTCTCGCGAAAGGCCCAGGACTCCCATCTACATACTTGAGGCATCCATTGTAAACTACCGTGGATCGTGGCTCCTAGGGGCACGTACCCATTGCATGTTGCAGGTGCTCGCAGCTTCGAGAGCGGGCATCCATTGCAATTTGCAAGAAGATCGCGGCCCGCACGGGGAGTGCTTGGACTTCTTCGCGGCCTCTTGGCTGTCTTCAGGATTCCATCCGATTTCTTTTATTTTTAATGGATTCCGCTGGGTTGTTGGAATCCTTTGGATTCGGGGGAATTCCTCAGGATCCCCACGGACGCGAGAGGATGTTTCAGGATTCCCCAGGACTCTTTCGGATTCTTGAGGATTCCATCGGGCCTCTCAGGTTTCCTCGGGACCCCGTCGGATTCGGAGTATGCCTCGGATTTCTTCGGGATCCCCCCAGGAATTCTCGAGATTCCTTTCTGGATGCCTCAGGATTCCTTGAGATCCCTTAAGTGTCTCAAGGTCCTTCCAGGCTTCGCCGTATTATTTTGGGTTCCTCGATGTTCGTTTAGATGCTTTTGGCTTTCCTTTTTTGCAATTCCCAGCCTTGTGTCGGATGCCGGAGGATTCCCCAGGATCCCTTCGGATTTGCCAGGGCCTCGAGTTAGAATTCTTAAGGTTTCCTCCGGATTCCTGTGGGTTCCCTCGGCACCACACATCGGGATCGCACAGGACTCGTTTGAACTCGTCAGAACTGTTGAGGCCTCGTCAGAGCTATTGAGGATTCGCCCGGATTCGGTCGGATCTATCAGGAGATCTTTCGGTTCCTCGGGATCCCCTCCGACTCCTCCGTTTTAGTCACAGGACTTCTCGTTCAGGATTATTGTACCCGATTTGTTTTTAAAATGACTGGACGCAGAAGCCCATTGCTGGTTCGCGCACGGATGGCACTTCAACATGTTTCATCCGACTTCCACGGCGAGCTCCCATCACTCGACTTTCGTGCCATGCTGTTGTCGAGCGACTGTCATGAAATCTAATTAGAATCGAAGGGCTGCGGGGACTTTCCACACCTCACGTTTGCGTGGCCGCATTTCTGCAGCAAGCATGCAGCACCCTCACGCATGTCTACAAGCCTCCGGTAAGAATCCTGCACTGGTCCTTTGTTATTCGTGTCCCTGCTCCCCACAATTTCACACAGTGCTCACATAGTACTCCTAGGGCAATCGAGCCCGAAACCTTACCCGTTAGGATTCGTTCTCAGAAAGAACGTTGGCGCCGTGTAAACTTATAGCAGATGTTGTAGCAGCCGTGGCAGTAGTTGTTGTCGGAGTAATCGCACTTGCACTGCTACGTAGTAGTAGTCGTATGGTGGCGTATGTCAAATGCCAGCCTCTCCCCGGGGGCACAGGCAACAGAGCGAAAAGCAAGAGGGTGAGGAAGAGGAGGAGGAGGAGGAGGAGGAGGAGGAGGAGGAGGAGGAGGAGGAGAAGGAGGAGGAGGAGGAGGAGGCGGAGGAACAGACGATGGAGGGGATGAGACGCCATCTGCGTAGACCAGGGGGGGAGGAGGCGGAGGAGCACGACGACGTCGACGACGACCCCGCCCCGCCCCACAGGAGCGGCGCGGAGGAGGCGCTGCTCCGCGCCGCGGAGCTGCAGGAGGCCATGCTGCTGGTGCTGGAGCAGGCCGCGAGGCTGGCGCTGCGGCCGAGCGGCGCGGACAGAGACAGGGGCGTCGACGCGCGCGTCGCGAGCCTGCTGCGCCTGGTAGCCGAGGTGACGTCATCGTCGTCATCGTTGTCGTCCTCGTCGTCGTCTTCGTCGACGCCGTCGTCGTCGTCGACGCCGTCGTCGTCGTCGTCGTCGTCGTCGTCGTTGTCGTCGTCGTCGTCCCAGATGTCTTCTTCCCGGCTCGGGGCCCCGCGGGGAAGGGCTCTGCTTGTGACTTTCCCGGTGCTCGGGTCGTAAGGTGGGAGGGGAGGTCACCACCCACCAAACTCCTCCACCTCCTCCTCCTCCTCTTCCTCCTCTCTTTCAAGCGGACACCCTCGCCCAACCCGAAGGCCCCACTTTGCCCTCCATTCGCAGTGGGGAGGGGACTTCCAGGAGCATTGAAAATTTGAGCCACGTATGGGACCCGTATCCCCCCCCATTCGAAATTTGGGTCTTCGGGTTGGGTTGGGGTGGTCTGGTAGGTAAGGTAGGTTCGTGCGGCGATGGCGCGCCGGCGACGCCGGCGAAGGCGTTCAAGGGTGAACTCTGTATGATAGAACGACGCGGAAGCACCGATAGGACAAGGTAACGCCACTGGACCCGACTGAGTTCGACCTGGAACGGTCGGGGCCGGGATCGACTCAAGGTGGAACGATCGACGCGGTGTCAAAAACCTTGGCGCTCGCCGACGCCGCACGAGCTAGCCGTAGTTAAAGGGAAGCAAACAATGACATAAACATAAAAACCCTGAGGTCCGCGCGGATTTCTGGGATCGGCGTTGGACCCCCCTTCCTGGCGCCGGAGGCGCCGCCAGGGGTCTCCAGCGCCGATCCGAGAAATCCGGACCTCCGAGTTTTTGTTTATGTTTTTGTCATTGTTCGTTCCCCTGAGTCAGGAGGAGAGGGCGAGGTCTGCCGTAGTCAGGAGTCGGGGGCAACGATAGGGGGGGATTGGCATAGGGGGGGATGCATCGACGCGCAATCGCCCATGGATCGCTGATAGGGGCCCGATGGCCCCAACCTGCCCAGGAAGGGTGCGGATTCACTGTCGGGGGCCCAGCGCCGATCCATCGGCGAGGTATCGCCGACTCCAGGTCGATGCATCCCCCCCCCTTGTGCCAGTCCCCCCCCCCATCGCTGCCTCTCAAGCCAGGAGGGATCGGAGGTTGATCGACCTCCTACCCTGACACGTCGATTAGCGAATTGGCCGTCGTCGGTTCGCGAGAGGGCCTCGCGGCCGTCATTCTTGCGGGTCCAGGTCCGTCGGTTTTGGTCCTAGGCCGTTTTCACTAAAAGGGAGGTTAACTAAAGGGAGGTTTACTAAAGGGAGGTTTGCTAAAGGAGGTTTGCCTGCAGGCGATTTTTTTGTTATAGTTGTTTTGACCATTTGGGAGTCTGGTTGGGGTATTTTGGATTTTTTGTAGAAAAACATGGGCCTGTCGTTGCCCGACCTGACCCTGTCATTGCCCCTCAAGCCAGGAGGGAAGAGAGGGCGAGGGTCCGGCTGCGGTTGTGCCAAGGCGTCGGGTCGGGGGGGGCGAGGGCGGCGGGGCCCCGCGGGGCGCCGCGGGGCCCCGGGCGTCCTCTTTGAAGGCGCCCTCGGCCGCCCTCGGCCTCCCGGGGCCCCCGGCCCCCGGCCCCCCAGGGGGGCCTTCAGGAAGAGGGCTGCCCAGGACGGCGCGGTGGGGGCCCGTGCCAAGCGGCACCCTGCTGCCTGCCTCCTCCAGGGTGCCCTGGGCTTCTTGGGCTTCGATGGTTTCGCCATGGGAGGCGTGGCGTGCCCACACCAAATGATCAGTGGACCTCCTGGGGTCGCAGGGTTGGGCTTCTTGTGGCAGGCTTCTTGTCGACGGGCCTCCACCGCATGAGCCATGCTTCAAAGGAAGGAAGCCACCCGGACCCGATAATCGGCGTTTACTAAACGGCCCTGGGCGCTTACTGAACAGCTTTGCCCTGGTGATCGCTTTTTTATTCACTGCATTGACGATCGGCGCGGGTCCTCGCACCACACCCTCCCCACCCCATGGAATAGACATTGGCTGTTTTGGGCGTCTGTTTCGAGAAGGTGGCGTCTCCCCCAGAGGACGCACCCCCCAGAGGACGCACAGTTCCAAACGGCCGCATTAAGCAGAGGTCCAGAGCCAGACCCCCCCCCTCTTCCCCCCCCTTCCGCCCAATATCGAGACGCCGAATCAGACGACGCTCACCTGTTCGATTCCTCTTTTGGGTGCGTTTACTAAACGGCTTCGCTTGTCGGGGTGATAATTGTGGGGGCAGATTTCCTGCCCTCTAGTACATGATCCAGGGTTGGAGCACCCGGGCGGTCGCTGCGGGTCGGTGATGCGAATGGGCGGAGTTCGTATCTGGCCGGCCCTCTCTTGAATCCTTCGCCCTCTGTTCCCCCTCGACCATTCCCAACATGTTTATTGCCGTTTGAGTTGACGTGGTGGCTAACAGAACTTCGACGCGAGTTCGCTGCGGGTCGGTGATACGAATGGGCGGAATTCGTATCTGGCCGGCCCTTTCTTGAATCCTTCGCCCTCTGTTCCCCTCGATCATTCCCAACATGTTTAATGCCGTTTGAGTTGACGTGGTGGCAAACGGAACTTCGACGCGAGTTGGATCGATTTCAGCCATGTGCGCATTGAGACGGTTCGTCATTGGCTGCTAACTCGTCATTGCCGCCGGCCCCGTGTTACAATCATGCTGGCGAATAGCCCAAGCATGTGCAGCTGTGAGTACCGGCAGTGTGAGACACGCCATCGGTGGAGCTCCCGACGAAGTCCCGAAATGTGTGAAGAGAGGTGAGGGGCGTGCCAAAGTGAGGGGGGGTGGCGGCCTGCGGGCGCAGCAACTGGGTCCTTAGGTGAAGCTCCCTATGGGGCCACGAAGCGTGTGAGGGGCGTGCAAAGTGAGATGGTGGCGGCATGCGGGCGCAGCTATTGGGGCCTTAAGCGTAGCTCCCCATGGGGCCACGCAACGTATCAGGTGTGTGCCACAACGGGGGGGTGGCTGCATGTGGGCGCAGCCAATGGGGCTTGAAGTGGAGCTCCCTATGGGGCCACGAAGCGTGTGAAGGGTGTGCCAAAATGAAGTGGTGGCGGCATGCGGGCGCAACCACTGGGGCGTTAGGTGTAGCTCTCTATGGGGCCACGCAACGTCTCAGGAATCTGCAAAAATGGGTGGGTGGCAGCATGCGGGCGCAGACATTAGGGGCTTTCGTTGTTGCTCCCTGTGGGGCCACAAAACGTGTGGGGTGTGCCAAAGTGAGGGGGGTGACGGGAGAACGGAGGAGGAGGAGAAGGAGGAGGAGGAGGAGAGAAGGAGGAGACGCGGGGATCTCTCTTCAGACCAAACGAGGACCTAACACCACAGGATGCTCTTGGGAAAACGATGATCCAGGGTTGCCCCACCCAAGGCATATGGGATCGAGCCCCTGCCCCCGCTGGATGGGTACGCCCGTGAGCCTCGCAAAGGCCTCGCGAATGAGATCGCTTCACCCCTCCCTATGTGCTCGTGGCCCTGTGGGCATGGAGTAGTGGAGGGTGCCGGTCCCCCACCCTCACCCCTGTGGGCGTGAGATGGTTCGTCGTCGTCGTCGCCGTCGTCATCGTCTTCCGTCGGCGCCTCCGCCTTTCGTCGGCGTCGGCGTCTTGGCGTCGGCGTCTTGGCGTCGGCGTCGGCGTCGGCGGCGGCGGCGTCGGCGTCGGCGTTGGCGTCTTCGTCGTCGTCATCGTCGTCGTGGTCGTCGTCGTCGTCGTCGTCGTCGTCGTCGTCGTCGTCGTCGTCGTCCCCCCCCATCCATCCGGGGGGCCGAGGACCTGTGATCCCTCAACCCGTGAACTTTGGAATCCCCTGTGGTTCTTCTGGGCCTCGTGCTGGAATCCCTGAAGGTCAGCCCTTGAGATCTGGGGGGTACCTTGGGCCACGGACACCTTTCCGTCTTCTTCTGTTTCTGTTTCTTCTTCTTCTTTTTCGTCCCCCTTTTCCTCCCCCATCTCTGCGTAATTCAAGCTTCGCGCGGCCCGCTTAGCTTCGACCGGAAGAGGTGCGCTCTCGACCCGCGAATCAAGAAATTATTTCTTCTTCTTCTTCTTCTTCTTCTGCTTCTTCCCAGACCCCCACGTCGGGATTTTGTCGTAAAGTGGACCCCCAGAGGTCTGGACCCCTTTCCGGAAACCGTCTTCTCATCCTGAGCGGTTGTTTGACGGTCCCGAGGCCTGGCAAGGGCCCCCAGAGGCGGAAAACCCGAGCAGACGCTTTCCGTCGCGATCTTCGTCCACGGGGCTAGGGCAGGGCGGGGCGGGGCTAGGACGAGGATGAATCCGTTCCAGAGCGTTCCGGAGCCCTCTCAGAGCGTTCCCGAACGCCCTGAGAAGACCGCGACGCCCATCCTCCAGAGCCTCCGGACCTCAGAGATTCTGGATTCGTCCTCGCCCGATTTGATCCTCGTCCTGGCTTCGTCTTAGTCTGGCTTCGTCGCTCAGGTGGAGAGGCTCGAGTACCACCTCGCCAGGCTGTGCCGAGAGCGCTCGCCAGTGGGGCCCGAGCTGCACGACGTGGCCGTCGCGGCGGCGAGCCTCGTGCTGGAGGTCGAGGCCGGCACGGAGGCGGACGCGCGCGCGCTGAAGCTGCTCGCGGCGGAGCTGAGCGAGCTGAGGGAGGACCAGCAGGCTCGACTCGGGGAAAGGAACATGTCCACGATACTATCATTGCCCGCCGGTCGTTGAAAGAAGTATGTAGCACCCCGCAGATGCGGATACGAGTGAGGGGGCGGTGGGGACGTGGGCAGTTTGCGAGATTGGAGAAGCCCGCCGCAGGCGCCAAAATTACACAAATTATGCAACGAGCCCGCCGCAGGCGCAGATTTCTTCGTTAAGCCAATGTGGGTAGGTCGCGGGTGGGTCGCAAATGGGTCGCGGGCGGGTCGCGGGTGGGTCGCGGGTGTGGTCGCAAACGGGTCGCGGGTGGGTCGCGGGTGGGCCGATTGGTGGGCCCGCTTGGTGGGCGCTTAGGTGGGTCGCGGGTGGGTCGCGGGGTTGGTGGGTCGCGGGGGGTCGCGGGTGGGTCGGCGCGGGTTGGGTCGCGGGTGGGTCGCGGGGTGGGTCGCGGGTGGGGTCGCGGGGTGGGTCGCGGGTGGGTCATGGGTGGGTCGCGGGGTGGGTCGCTGGTGGGTCGCGGGGTGGGTCGCGGGTGGGTCGCGGGGTGGGTCGCGGGTGGGTCGCGGGTGGGTCGCGGGTTATGGCGCGGGTGGGTCTCGGGTGGGTCGCGGGGTGGGTCGCGGGGTGTGTCGCGGGGTGGGTCGCGGGTGGGTCGTGGGGTGGGAGGACGACAACAAACAAACAACAACAACGCAACAACCAGAATACTCACCACGGATCCCCGCTTCAGCCACGTACCCAGGGACAATGAAATGAATGACCGTTCGGCCCCCTCATTCTGATGTTTGGATTCCCAGGTCCCAATCTGTTGTAGTCGCCTTCCTACTTCAAGTGTCGAATGGTTTCCCTTCGTCCTTCCTCTTCATGGGGCGGGCGGGCGGAAGCCCAATCTACATTCGTCGCCTTCCTGCTTCATCCTTCTACCCACTTCTTCCGACTGGCAAGTAAGCATAATACAACCCCAAAACCTAATAAAATTAGCCTGGCGAAGGACCCAACCAGATGTAATTGTGTGTCCCGCAGTTGTGGCAATCGTCTTCGGTGGAGCTCCCTATGGACCACGAAACGCTGTACTGGGTGAGGGAGGACGCATGCGGACGAATCCACTGGGGCCTTTGCTGGAGCTCCCAGTGGGGCCACGACACGCTCTAACGGGTGAGGGAGACTTATGCGGAACGTGCCACTGAGGCCTTCGGTGGAGTTTCCTATAGGGCCGCGAAGCGTTATACTGGGTGGAGGAAACGCATGTGGACACCGCCACTGGAAGCGTCGGTGGAGCTCGTTGGGGGGGGGGGGGGACGCGTGCGGGCGTAGCACTTGGACCTTCGGCTGGAGCTCCCTATGATGCCACGAAGCGCTGAACTTGGTGGGGGGGGCGCATGCGGGCGGTAGCACTGGAGCCGTCGGTGGAGCTCCCTATGGACCACTAAGCCCTGTACTGGGTGGGGTGGGAGATGTATGCGGGCGGTGGTACTGGGGCCGTCGGTGGAGCTGCTCATGGGGCCACGAAGCGCTGTACGTCGGGGGGGGTGGGGGGGAAACGCATGCGGGCGGTAGCGCATGGACCTTCGGTGGAGCTCCCTGCGGGACCACGAAGCGCTGTACAGGGTGGGGGGGACGCATGCGGGCGGTAGCACTGGGACCTTGGGGAGATCTTCCTATGGGGCCACGAAGCGCTGTACTTAGTGGGGGGGGCGCATGCGGGCGGTAGCGCTGGGACCTTCGCTGGAGCTCCTTAAGGGCCGCGAATCGCTGTACAGGATGGGGAGGACGCATGCGGGCGGTAGCACTGGGACCGTGGGTCGAGTTCCCTGTGGACCGGGGGGGCGCATGCGGGTGGTAGCGCATGGACCTTCGGTGGAGCTCCTTATGGGGCCACGAAACGCTGTACTGGGTGCGGGAGCCGTATGTGGACGCAGCCATTGGGGCCTTCGGTGGAGCTTCCTATGGGGCCACGAAACGCTGTACCGGGTGAGGGTGAGACAGAGGCAGGGATGGGAGGAGGGAGGAGGGAGGATTAGGAGGAGGAGGAGGAACGGAAAGGAAGAAAGGAGGAAGGAGGAAGGAAGGAGGAAGGAACGCGGGGACTGTCTCTTCAACGAGGACCCAACAACAGGTTGGTTGGGAACAGTGAAGTTGTGGCCTAGCTCAGGTCCTCGGTTTTCAGGGCTATCTATGAACAGGTGGGTAGTCTCTTCTGAGACTTATGCAACACATACCCCCTGCCCCTATTGTTTTCGAGGATACCTTCGGTCCCCTCCCAAAGGATTCGGGGTAATTCCACTGCTCATCATATTGTGTCATGTTCGTCGACCAGCCATCCTGTGATGCTGGGTCCTCGTTTTGAAGAGACGGTGCCGCGCGTCTCCTCTCCTCCTCTCCTCTCCTCGTCCTCCTCCTCCTCCTCCTCCTCCTCCTCCTCCTCCTCCCCCTCCTCCTCCCTCCTCCCCCTCCTTGCCTTTGCTCTCCGCATGTCTCTGTTTCGGCACACCCCTCACACGTTTCGTGGCCCCATATGGGGGTTCCACCTAAGGTCCCACTTGCGCAGCCCGCATGGCGGCGCCGCCCCATTTTGACACACCCCTCACACGCTTCGTGGCCCCATAGGGAGCTCCACCTGAAGTCCCAGTGGCGCAGCCCGCATGGCGGCGCCGCCCGATTTGGGTACACCCCTCACACGCTTCGTGGCCCCATTGGGAGCTTCATCTAAGGTCCCAGTGGCGCAGCCCGCATGGCGGCGCCGTTCCATTTTGGCACACCCCTCACGCGCTTCGTGGCCCCATAGGGAGCTCCACCTCAACTCCCAGTGGCGCAGCCCGCGGCACCGCCCCATCTTGGTGCACCCCTCACGCGTTTCATGGCCCCATAGGGAGCTCCTTCTTAGGTCCCAGTGGCGCAGCCCGCATGGCGGCGCCGCCCCATTCTGGCACACCCCTCACGCGCTTCGTGGCCCCATTGGGAGCCCCATCTAGGGTCCCAGTGGCGCAGCCCGGAGGGAGTGCGGAAGCAGCTGGAGCAGATCGGCTGTGGCCGCCGGAGGGAGTGCGGAAGCAGCTGGAGCAGTTTGCTACGCGCACGAAGCGGCGCAGGAGGGAGGCGACGGCCCTCGCCAGGGAGCTGGGCTTCACCGAGTTTATCCGCGAGGCTTGACTTGAAAAGCGACCCGCCCGAGCCTCGCCGTCTCTCGACGGTCTGACTGTTTGGCTTCGCGCCGCGGGCGCGCGTCGCGGGAATTCCGCGCTGCGCTCTGCCCAGAGCCTCGACGCCCCCGTCGTCTCTCCGCCCGGCGGCCACAGCCTTGCCCGCTATCAGCCAGCCAGCTCTCTCTGCTCCGCGCAGCGGACGACCCGCGCGCGTCGCCGGGACCCCGTCGGGGCGACCGGCGCGCGTCGCGGGGGCCCCGCGTGGCGCCGCGCCCGCAGCCTCGGACATGGGCGCGCGCGGGCAAAGAGAGAGAGAGAGAGAGAATGAGAATGAGAATGAGAATGAGAATGAGAATGAGAATGAGAATGATAATGAGAATGAGAGAATGAGAAAGAGAGAGAGAGAGAGAGAGAAAGAGAGAGAGAGAGAGAGAGAAAGAGAAAGAGAAAGAGAAAGAGAGAGAAAGAGAGAGAGAGAGAAAACAAAAAGAGAGAGATATAAAAAACGAACGAACGAATACCAGGAAGGAAGCGGGCGCGATCCTCGGGAGGAGCGCGCCGACATGGGCGTCGACGCTTATGCGCGTGGACTGATTCGCACGCAGACTCATCCACAATCAGACTTACTCGCGCTCAGCCTCTCGCGCGCAGACCTATCGTCTTCGCTCGCGTCGCATGCCCAGCCACGCATCTCGGCGCGCCTCTCGCATGGTTCGTGGCCCCATAGGGAACGCGGGTAAAGATGATATTCAGAGTTGCGGTGTTCACAACTGCGCATGGTTGGGTCCTTCGCCAGGATAATTTTAACACCACGTCGCCCAGAGAACCGGACAGAAAATATGCACCATAAGTTGTCCTGTGGACTTGTTGCGCAATCCCATGGAGCAGGGCTCATAGATCTTGTTGTGTACACGCGCGGTTCCCATCGACGGGCAACACATCGGAGGACGCACAGGTACGGATACTAGGTTTCTTCCTTGGTATTCGCCTCTTGGGCCTCCTCGGAGGCCCTCGTCGTCTCGGCTGCATTCGCTACGGAGTTTTGGCCCGAATGCACCCCAGGAGAGGTCCGGGGAGCAGCAGCAGTGGCGCTCGGTTTCCCCTGACGAATGGCATGGGCACGAAGTTTCGGGGGCCCGCGCGGATCCCGTGGGTCGGCGCTGGAACCCCTTTCCCTGGCGCGCGGAGCGCGCCGGGACCGGCGTCAGAGGCGCCGCCAGGGGGGGCCCCATCGCCGATCCAAGAGATCCGCGTGGAGCTCCGAAGGTTATGTTGTGTATCGAAGACGCCTACGGCGAATCACCGCCGCCCACTGCCCCTTTGGAAGCCTCTGTGGCCGACAGCTGGGCCAGAGCTTGGCCAAGCTATCGGGCCAGTTATTCCCCGAGTCGGTTTGGAAAGACTTCGGGGAATGCGCGGGGGAGCAAGAAGAGGAGGAGGAGGAGGAGGGGGAGGATGAGGAAAAAAAGGGAGGAGGAGGAGGAGGAGGAGGCCTCTTGGACGCCTCTTGGGGCACTTCTGAGGCCTCCTGGAAGCTTCCGGGAGGCCTCTCGGAGGGGTTTTGGATGCCGTTGGGGGCTTCTTTGGGGCTTCTTTGGCCGTATTAGGGCGTTCCTGGCTTGTCTGACGCCGTCGGAAGCCGTCTTGGGGGCCTGTCTGGGTCGTCTTGGGGCCCTCTTGGGGCATCTCAGGGGTTCTTCGAGGCCATCTTGGGCGTCTTGGAGGCCTCTTGGGCCGTTTTGGGGCCCTCTTGGGGCCGTCTTGGGGGCCTTTGGGGCCGTCATGGGGCCATCTTGGAGGCCTCTTGGGCGATCTTGGGGGTCTCTTGCGCCGTCTTGAGCAGTCGGAATGCCGAGAAGAAACACATGC